TAATCGTTAATCGGTGAATGGCTATTTATCGATAACCTTGTGTATGTCATGATGGTGTTTTTTAAATGTAGTAAAATTTAATATTTTATAGATTTTTATACTTTTATATAACATATATACTTTATACTTTAACTGTTTACCAAAAACTTAACGAAAATGTTACAAAAAACGGCTAAAAAAAACTTTAAATGTGCTATAAATGAAAGTAACTTATCAAACAAAAAAGTTGATAGAAAAGCTGAGAAACTCCTTACGGCAAACCGCTCAATGTTTTTGCCGCTAACGAGGTGTTATGGCTTTTAGGAATCTGGAATCTTGCGTAGCGTGCTATATAATAAATAATTCTAGGCAATCAGTTCTGTTCCGTTTTGTGTATTCGGTTTCGATTCGATTCCCAAAGACATTTAATTTTTAGCCCACTTCCGAGCTTGAATTACGGATAGAATGAAGTTGGACTACTGACCGATTTAGTTCGATAGAGAATCTTGTTATAGGTAAATGTTTATGTTGATTTTGATATGGATCCTAGTGTTATATATACCAATTACGGAAATGAAAACTTGTACGCCTAATTCTTAAATATATTTTTGTATGTTTTGTAGTTGCTAGTAGTTTCCTGGTAGTTTTAAAATAAAAACAACTGCGTTGAGACATTTTTATACTTTGTTTATTCTTTTTATACATATACATATTATATATTCTTAATAAAATATGACGACAGAAATAAATATTTGATATATACACTTTATACAAAAAACAAAAATGGGAAAAAAGAAAAACTAAGAAAAAAAAAAGTTTTTTGAAATTAATAAACGGACATAACGTGAATTGTGTTTTATTTATTTTTATATATATATCTTGTATGTACTTTTTTATAAAAACTGTAAATAAATAAATCTTTTAACTTAGCTGAAACCACAGAAATATGACAAGAATAAACTGTTAGTACATACAATTAAATACTTAATACGAAAGACTCTGAAAAGGAAAAGTATTGAAATTCGAACTTATTAAAAACTTAAATATGTTAACTGAACATCTAAACAACCAATTGGTCAATATGTGTTTTTATACCAAAACAAAAAGCGAAAAACGAAAAACAAAACCAAAATGATTAAAAACAAATACATAAACGTAATTATATGAAATTTACACGTAGTACAATTCAATAAACTTAAAACGTAAACGCTAAACAAGTGAATATTTTTGAAAGAAACCCACAAAATGCTTCAAATAATTGCCAAGGCAGCAAAGTAACCAAACAGTAACGATAAATAGAGAAAATACAACCTTGCGTAGTGCAAAATAATGCAAATTAGAGCCGCGTTTTGATTTCGCCTAGTGAAAACTCCTCTCTAAAGTGAAATGGAATGGAAATACTCTGCGTTTCGGGACGGTTTTGCTACCCAGTACGTAGTTGTCGGAGAAATTGAATTATTTTTTGAGTATTTTCATAGCACAATTTTTGTACAGTGTATGGTTTGTAGTTAGCGAAAGAACGAATGTGTGTAAACCAATCGCGTTTTAAATAGAAAATTTTTTAGTCTCCAAAAACGATGTGAACTCAATTTCAATTTTACGCTAATTGGATCGAAGCTTGGATCGCCGCGAAGGGAAAATAGTAAGAATAGAAAATTTGCAAACGACAAGGTTATTAATGAATATTAAAAACAACATTCGGTACCTTTTAAACATAATTAATGAATTTTATAAACAACAAAAAACCAAAAACCAAATTGATACTGAGAAATTGTAGCCTGTAAAGCGAGTGTTTCGCACCCGCACTTCCATTTTAATTTTAATTTAATCTTTTGTCGCCTTCGCGTTAATTATACAGCGACGTGCGCGTTTACATATGCATACTCTATATATATATATATATACATATGTACATATATATAATGTTTAGTACTTCAAATAAACTGAAATTGAGCGCCCTTACTAATGAATTCCTTTTAGCAAAATATTCAGAAAAAACAAAACAAACAAACCAAGCAAAGGCATATAATTTTTTAGCATTATACAAGTGAAAATATAACTGAAAACTGAACAAAAAAAATAAAAAATAATATAAATAGTAAACCGAAAAGTTGGCAGATATGAAAACTATATAGTGAATCAAATAAATATATATATACATATATGACACGTAATCTGTATGAAGCGTATGAAAACCAGAAACTAGCGAAATATTCCATATTTTATAGTCATTTTCAATAAACGTAATTTTTTAATTTTTACAAAATTGAAGTTTGAAAACAAATAAAAAAAAGATAAGAACCCAATGAAAATAAAAATCAATACAAATATTTGTAGTTTTCTAAAACCCGAGAAATCAATCTGAAGGGGTAAACACTGATTAAAAGTAAATAATTGTAAACAGTTTCGATTTCCATGCGTGTTTTTGCTCCACAGCGTTGAAGCGTTTTCAATTAAATTAACGGAAAACCAAATACCAATGTTTAAACAAATGTTACGAAGCCCAAAATAAAAGCAGACCATAGATAAAACGTATGTACTAAAATAAAGTAAATAGCAATGAAATAAATATATGTATTAGACGCATATGCAAGAAGTTTGCCCCCTAACTAATGAATCTCTCTCGAAAATTGAAACTGTAATAGCAAACCCCAATATCAGCAGTACTTGCAACGCAATATTTCCAAGGAAGAAGGATATCGAGTCCGAATAAGCAAAAACCAAACCCAAATCCAGCAAATCAAATATGAAATAACAAATAAAATACAAGATATGTAAGCCCCTATGAAGGGAAATATACATATAGGATTATATTATACACAAGATATATTCAAAGCCCAAATCGTTTTCTAATGCGCCTCACAAGCATCACACTGTGCGAAAAAACCAAACAATCGGCGTTTGTATTTGAAAATGTGAAATTGGCACACAAAAAACACACCCCACACACACCAATTCACACACACACCCAGTCCCTGAGGAAAAATGCAGGTTATGGAGCAAGTAAATAAAGCATAAATGGCAAAAAAACATATATCTTCATTCAAATAAATAAAAATACTTTTTCTGGAATAACATAAAAACTGTGTACTTTACTTTTTTGGGTGGGAACTTTGTGGACAATGTCAACTAATTGATATTCTAGATTTTTTTCATGTTTTAAATAAATACTTATACAAATATTTTTGATTAATTTCGATGTTTAAGAACACCTTTTATACCCTTTCAAGGTTTTAACATTTCAATCAAAAGCTTACAACGCAGTGCCATTTCACCCTATAAACTGTAAATATTCTAAATCAGCCTAAACAGCCGACTATATCTGGCCCTGTTTCGTTAGGACACAAAAATGTTGCTTATTTTAAAAGTTGTTATTTACATGAATAAAACTGTTTAACGTTTTTTTTTTTAATTTCAAATTTGGTGTACAGATTTAACTTAATAAATAGGGTAAGGTGGGGTAAAGCCGACCTAGTAAATGGTTTTGGCTATAAAATGCTTATTTTACATCGGATAAAGTCGTTATATATACCAAATTAAAGGTTAGACTTTTGCGCAACGTTCTATGCATTGCATTTTATTCATACCTTTGAAAAGTTTTGAGATACAAGCGTTTTACGAAAAAGTTCATTTTTGCTATGTTCAAAAATGATGGGGTAAACCCGACCGTCTATGTTTTTGGTTGATTTAGTACAGATATAACCTAAATATAGGTTTTGCAATGATAAATCAATCAATGTTATGTTATATAATGGTAATAAAAGATAAAAGAATTAAAAAAATTAAAATAGCAAAATAATTAATCAGTATCATCTGATTCGCTGCTCAAATAGCTTGCTGGCGTTTTTTGGTTCGAGTTGAACGTCTGGTTGGCTGCGATGTTGATGGGTTTGGTGTGATTGTGGTTTTTTTTTTGGATTTTTTGCGTCAGGATTTACCCCACTATTTAGAGGTCGGATTTGCCCCACCACGTAATTTTTCATAAAAACGCAATTAAAAAAGAAATTATGAAAAAAAAAATGAACCAAACTTATATGCACTTTGTAGGACTTTATTCAAAGAATCTAAATCCACTTACCTTTTCATGCGATAACTTTGACAAAAAGAAATATCCTGCAGTTAATTATGCACAAAAATGAAATTCAAAATTGTGAAAACAAACTTGTTGTCGTTTGACCATCTCAATGTTGACTAATAAAATGCTGTCATACCACCATTTACATTGTTTTCGATGCTCTACACGACAACAATAATATTATTTTGCGTAGTGCTTCCGATTTTCGAAAACAGAGGGAGGTCGGGTTTACCCACACTGTCGGCTTTACCCCACCTTACCCTACTTTTTGACTTAGTAATGATTCTTTAAAACTTTTATTATAAATATCAATCTGTTTTTATTTAAAGAATTGGAATATTTTAGGTCTTTTTGAAGGCATAAGCCTAATAATAAATCATTTTGTTAATTTTTAAACTCTAACAGAACTGCCACAGAAAAGTTCTCTAAATTTAAATTAATTGGCTTAGCGATTTATTTTCAATTTCATTTCTCGTTCCAATTGCAAACTGCAAGGGTTTACAAACTTCTGCCTCCCGAAGAATTGTTTTGTTCTTGTTTATGTTACGAATAAGAGTTATACTCTTCTTAATTTTAATATTAACGCTATTTATTGCATTTATTAAGAGCAGTGCAAGATGGTCTAAAAGATTGCAATATTTTTTAAGTGGTGTGTACACTTTTGTACACCATTTTGCCATAAATGGTTTCGGTTTCACGACTCTTTCGTTGGCTTTCATGTAGCTAGAGATAAAATAAATAATTTAAATAAAATCAATAAATTTTTTACTTGCCTTTGGAAAACTGCCTGAGGGGAATTCTTTGATTAGCTAAATGTATGTACCATTTCTTTGAGGACTCAAGAATTGTTTTTATAAACTCGCCAGCCGTTTTTCAGTTGGTCAAGAGTAACGTGACAAAACTTATTTATTCTGTAAAATAACCCGAAATAAATTTCAAATTTCAGATCTGGCAGCATCGAGGGAGTGTCACCTACCTCGAGCGGCCCCAATCTTATATCCGCACTGTCGGCAGCCAGCGCAGCTGGGGGAGGCGGTGGTGGCGGAGGAGGAGGTGGCTCCGTTGGGGACAGCATCAGCAGCGGTGGCGGTACCTGGAGGCTTATCAAGGGCAAGGTCTCGCAAACGATCGAGGAAATCAAGTCTGCCAAGCATCCGACGAGCACGTCGACGATACCCATTATTGTGGCTGATCCGCCATCGACCGGCTGGACCAATCCCGATCCCGATTCGGACACCGAGTGCGTCACCTTCAATACGTCCATTAGCGAGGAGCTGCCCCTGGATCAGGAGCACAGGCAGAACTCTGACTCGGACGCGGAAGCCGAGCTGCTGCAGCTTGACAGCAGCAGTTTGGGCAGCGGGGACGTTGGAGCAGCTGCTGCTATAGGATCGGAGCGATCGCGCCTGCGTCGGGGCCTGGCACACATTCGGTCCAAGGTGAAGGCCAAGCACCAGGCGTCGGCTGCCATGACAAAGAAGGATCTCGGATCCGGGTCCAGCGGCACAGTCCCAGGGCCACAGCCGCAGCGCAGCGGCTTCCTTCGCCGGAGAAATGTGGTGGAGGCGGGCTGTGAGCCGTCCACCAGCCAACAGGCGGAGATTCCTATTGCGAGCGGGAAGGTCAAGAAGAGGGGCATCCTGTTGGCTCGCAAAGACGTGGAGATTGAGTCGGGTGTGGAGGTGCTCGAGGACATGATACCTGTGACAGTGCTGCAGAGGGATTCCTTGCAGAAAGCCATAAAACACCAATCGCAGGATGAGCAGGATGCTGGCGCAGTTCATAGCGAGTCGGTGAGTGCTCTTTCGCTTGCCCTGGATCCGGACGTCAAAACACAGTCCAGCCGGAACTCATTCAATGACAGTGGGACGCAGAAGTCGGCGCGCGACTCGAGGGAGAGCATCTTCACCAGCTTCAGCCAGGTTAGCGCAAAACTATGGCGGGAGAAACATCAAGGCGCCACGGCCTTCGCCCTGCCCGTCCTGCTAACTTTCTTATTGGTCATACTGATGATCCTGCCGGTACCCGACTTCCTACGCGGCGTTTTCGCCACGCTACTCTTTTTCGTGGCGATGGATAGCTGGGGCAGCCGCCTGCATAAGCTGCTGGAGCATCTTCTGCTGTCTACGCACCCGGAGCGAGACACCTTTGTGATACCGAACTACAAGGACATGCCGATTTGCGAGATACCGGCGGTGGAGGAGCACAAGACGATCAAGACGTACGCCGGCTGGATGAACGAGCTCAGCAGCTACGATCCCAACACGTTCTCCTTTACCCTGACGAGATCCGTGTATGTGCGCCTCGATGGATGCATCCTCAAGATGTCGGGCACGAATGCCAGGATTCCCAAGCGTCGCATGTGGAACGAGCCGCCCATCGATCGCAACAAGATCCTGTTCACGGATCACCGGTCTTATGACCTCAGGGACTGCCGCATCGAACTGCTGCCCCTGGGTTTGGCCAAGAAGCGGTGAGTCTTTCGGGGGTTTTCCATTGCTCCAAGCACACTCTAAGGTTTTTTTATTGACAGGTTCTTCAATCGCAAGTATCCCATTCAGTTGATCATCAAGAGCAGTCGGGATGTGCCCGAGGAGCTCAACTCCGCAGAGAGCCACTCCGATACCACTATTAAGCCAGAGGCCAAGGAAACCAAAGCTGCCTCTAATTCAGCGAGAACGCCACCGGGCGCCGAGGACCAGGACAAGCAGGTGGACTTTGCGGCCACGGTGATGCAGGCGGATGTAGGTAACCAATTTCTGCCTGAATCTCCCTTACTAACCTCTACTTGCTTCCATATTTTACAGTTGCAGCAACTGCAAAACACCGTTAACCCGGACAAGGAACTCACCGAGATCACCGTGCCCTGTGGCGACGAGGTGCGTCTGCTGCTCTTCTCGCGCTGTGACCGGGAAAAGGAGGACTGGTATCGCCGCTTCTTGGCCGCCAGCAAGGGTCTCGTTCACGAACAGGATCTCCAGGTGCCGATGGCCCGGTTTGTGGAGGACACCGATCTGCAGGCTGCTGCCGCCAGGCAGGCCCTGCATCTGGTGGCCTCTGGCCTGGGTGGGACCAGCGCAAAGGTGAGTCCTTAGAGAACTAGATTTCAGCTACTAATAACTCGGAACAGTCGAAGGGCAAGGAAACCGAGGATAAAACCGATGAGGCGAATCCCACTGATGAATCCGAACAGCAGACACCCGATGGACAATTTGAGAGCATAACCGAGGAGGATCTCATCGACCCGCCAAAGGACGAAAGCTTCGATGGCATGATTATGAGTGCCAATGTGGCCAGGAATTCGCCAGATTATGTGCGATTCATGGCTGTGTATCAGGTAGGCGCTCTCGGGACTTTAGATTGCTTTATTTTTAGTTTATTTTACATTTTTCGTTTGTGTTTCCAATTGGCTTTTGGTAGAAAGCTTGTTCCCAGCGCACAATTCCCGTGACCCGAAGTTCAGTCGGAGAATTCTATTCCGAAAAACAGCGCCCCAAAAAAGTATGTTTATTTTATGTTTTTATGCTTTTATTTATCCCTTATTGTTTGTGGGATTTCGGGGTTAAATGAGTCAGAGAGCTACAGCCTCCTCCTTGCAGTCTCGCCGTGCCAAACGCCAGGAGGATGAGCTGTGGAAGGGCATTGACCAGTCCCTGTTCCTGGGGCCATCCGGCAGCATTGTGTGGGCAAATGTTTTCCTGGGCCGCTTCCTATACAGCTGCCTGCATGATACTATGCTGCACGAGAGGATCAAGGATGTGCTGCAAAAGAAGCTGAACTCCATCAAGGTGAGGGATCTATTCAAAGTTTTAATGAGAGTTTATAACCTGCTCTATCTTTAGCTACCCAGCTTCATGGAGGAGGTGGTAATCACGAATATCTACATGGGCCGATCTCCGCTGCTCTGTCATCGCGTCTCCCAGCCCATGCTGGATGAGCGCGGCGTTTGGATGGATGCAGATATCACCTACGAAGGATTGGCCCACATTACAGTGACCACCAAGCTGAATCTACTGAGGATTCGTGGTAAATCCAAGTCACCAATGACTGCCGAATCCGCCATGTCGGCCGCTTCATTTGCGCCCGAGCTGGCGCCGGATTTGCGCAGCAATACGGATGTGGGCAGTGAGAATGTCATCTATGACAGTGACGCCGAGAGTTCCGGTGGCTCGTCCACGGAATCCGAGAGTCCACCGCCGGGCAATGCCCAGGAGAATCCCGCTGGGACTGAGTAAGTATAGAAAGAGTTTTTCTTTTTGATGTAACCAACCTTCTCCCCTTGCAGATTCTTCCAGAATTCGCCTGGCAATGCGCGGCGCATCTTCAAGATTGTGGATCGCATAGCCGCCTCCAATCTATTCCAATACGCCACCGAACTGCCGTACGTGCAGCGCGCCATGGAGAACATGAACGCGAACATCACGTTGCGCGTAGATCTCAAGGGTATGGTGGCGCGCGGCACCTTGAACATACCGCCACCGCCCTCCGATCGGGTGTGGGTCAGCTTCCGGGGACCGCCACGCCTGTGGATATCCACCAAGCCCCAAGTGGGCGACAAATCCGTCGACTGGTCGATCGTGACCAATGTCATCGAGAGCAAGCTGTGTGAGGCTGTTAACAAGTTTTTGGTCTATCCCAACATGGTGGACTTCTCTGTGCCGTTGTTGAGCAATCCCAACTTCGATGAGGATCCTCTGGCCGCTGGGAATTGAGGACCAAGGGCTGGTTGGGGACGATGAGCGATGAGATATGATCTATCTCGATTTATGTATTGAATTTAACACAAAGTGTGAGCGAGATTTTCTAGGTTTATTTTTTGTAAACTCCAAGTTTAGCTTAGGTCTGCGATCTCTGATTCCAAATGCGATAAGTAGAGAGATAATTCCAAAAAGAAGGACAAGTTTCAAGGCGCTTATATTTTTGATCACACATTCTGTTCACACTCCAGGAAACACACAATCCCAATCCAGCTTTATGGGCTTGGCTACAATAATTTACACAACTGAGATAATATCGGAGGATTAGCGGGCAAAGGTGAAGGGGACTTAGAATACATATTTATATAGCATATAGAATATGCTGCTAATACAGCCGCTCTGTGAGGTCATCACGACAAGTATTCCAATAGCATAATGCAGGCATATGTATCCCTAACTATTCTATATACGAACAACTACAATATACAGCCTCTATTTATACACACACTATATATTCCAAGTAGCTTAGCGATAGAGTGCGTGTGATTTTTAAACAAGAAAATCGAATTTTATTTGCGACTTGACGCGATCCGTATGTACTTAAAGCGTTTCAACTATTTAAAATACTAGTATATGCTAGCGAGAATAAGCGGTGGGGGTACATTCTATATATCCGTACGTACATTTTGCCAAATAAGAACAAAAAACTATTCCGTTGGGTTCCAATTTTATGCAACTTTAAGAGACAACTAAGAAATATATATCATTTACACGGTTGTTTTTTCCAGGCTAACAACTAAGTACTCTAAATCATTTTAGCTACAGCAGAAACCAACGTCTATATATACAATTTATTTATGGAAAAAAATACAAAATAAATGATAGCGAATTGCTAGCACATCTCCGTGTTTTTTTATTCAAATTTTCAGGCGGTTGAGCTTTAAGCTCATGTTATGGATAACATTTAGTTAACATCGGTGTTAAGCTTATAACATTTCCACCCGTTGTTGAATACTTTCCAAAGCTGACTGCTACAAAAGGCGGAAATAAATCTGCAAGGAAAACCTATATATTAATGTTAATTTTTATTTGTTTACTTATTTTAGGGGAATGTTGTTTTTTTATATTATGAATCTTCAATATCTAAAGAATATTTTGTCAAAGTTTCACATCAATTATAACAAAATTTACGAAGTTTTACTAGTTGAACGGAGGTCGTGTCGTTTTCATTTTATGGGTATCAATTTATTTATTTTATGGGTATAAAAAATTCAATTTTGAAAGTCGGTGACACATTAACTCGAAATCTATTGGACGAATCGTTTTGCAACTAAGCACATAAATTCTTAAACCAAGATTTTGACTTCCGGTTTTAATAAAAAATCTGGGAAAAATGTTATAAATAACAAGAAAGAAAGCTAATTTTGGCCAGCCAAAGCTTGTATACCCTTGCAGGTAACAATTAAAATATATCATAACTAAGCCAAAAATGCATTAATTTCGATTCGGAAAGCAGTTTTGTGTTAGTTTTTTTTTAATTTAAAAAAACTGCATACCAAATTTAAAATTTTAAGAAATCAAAATTTTTTGCCATTTTTGCTCATTTTAATGATGTAACTCCTTATCAAATTTCGCAAAAATGGCCAAAAAATGGATTTCTTCCTGACATATCTAGAAAGATTCGCGTGTTAATGCTGATCAAGAATATATACGGTTTATGGGGTCGGAAATGATTCCTTGACTAGAAATATATTATTTTGTATTATAAAATCTGATTTTTTATATAAAAAAACTTCTTGATTTTTTTAAAATTAAAAATATCATAACTCGGCCAAAAGAGCATTAATTTTAAATCGGAAAACTGTTCTGTGCAAGATTTTCTACAGTTAATAAATCTGGATACTTCAATTAATTAATTTTGAAAATTCAATTTTTTATCAAAATCAAAAATTTTAATGATGTAACTAACCCCTTATAAAATTTTGCAAAAATTGCCAAAAAATTGATTTCTTCCTGACATATTTAGAAAGATTCCTCTGTTGGTGCTGATCATGAATATATATACTTTTTATGGGGTCGGAAACGTCTTCACGTTGCAAACTTCTGACTGAAATTATAATATCCTGCAAAATAAAAACGCACTGTGAGTACCTCGGGCACTTATCCTTTAACGAATGCAATATATTTTTACGATTTTGGGTGATTCTGGGGAGAGTAAGGATGTTCGGTTCGCCTTTCTTATTTTAAGTACCAGAAGTACCATAGGAAAGCATATTAAAACATTACATTTCCAGAGTTGAAATATATGAAATTTAACTTTGATGTGTCAACAAAAAGTATAGTAGTTTCGAAGTAATAAATATATATATATATTGGCTCTCATAATCACCCCTTAAATATTCAGATTTGTTTTTTATGTAGGTCTTCTCCATGTTTTACACCAAATCTTTTCTTAGGAGCGCCCACTCACCGAAGCATAACCTAACACCAACCAGGTGTTAAATAACCATTTTTATATATTCAAAATCACCATCGATTTGGTTTTAATTTTTCTTTATTTTAATTACTTTTCATTCACGTTCAGAAATGTACATTTTTAAATTGCATTTTGCCTCGCGTTCATGGGGGATTTTTTTTTTTTTAGTTTTTTGTTTATGTGTTGTGTTTTGGGTTTTTAATGCTTTTTATGCTTTCGTTTTCGTTTTCGATTGCGATTTTCATTGCGCGCTGTTTCCAAAAAGTACATTAATTAAACTACAGACATACGTGTATATAATATGCATTAATAATAGAGTTATATATGTATATATAGAATTCAAAAATGTACAACATTCATTTTTAACAAAAGAGCCGCAACACGACACGGTGCGTGCTGGCCGGCATATGTAGTTAAAAACTCGAAGGATAGCCATAGCAAAAACAACTAAAGTTACAACTTAAGGTTAGAGACTTACCAACTAATACACATACTAGTACAATGTCAATGCCATTTCATTCAATATTTTCTTGTATATACGTATGTATGTATGTATGAGTGCTTGTATTTATGCTTCCGTAATGCTCCATGTGGCACACGAAACTTATGCCTCGTTAAAAGTCATCTTTCAAAATTGATTTCATGGTTCGTCGTTCCGTTGATCTCAAAATTTGTTATCTTATTTTTATGTTTTATCTTCTGTGTGATGTTTTTGAGTGGTTTGTTTTCTTTCGCATAACAAAAATGTTAAAAAGACTAAGAAAAATAGTTGCAATATTTACGCTTATTGCCGTTTACTACTTAACAACTAAAACTGCTATCAAAACAGATTTACAAATAAATATTCCAAGTAAGTTTTTCGTCGTAAAACCTCAACTACGATCGATCATCAACTTTTTTTCTGTCGTTTTCCGTCCGTCTCCGTTTTGAGCAACACTTGTTCTTTAAGAGATATTCTTGAATATTATCGGTAAATGGATTATGCTGGCTATGATCTTAGCTTATCGTTAGAGTAGAGCTTGTATTAATCTGTTATCTGTGTGAAAGTGTAACTGTCTGACCCGTTCCATGCGGCAAATGCAGAGTAATTGGTTTCCATTGTTGTTGTTGTTGTTGAGCACGTCGCGGTGTTCGGTAGGGTGTTGTTGTATCATTTTCTGGGGGATTCTAGGAGGGATCGTCGCTCTTCACTGTCACGTCACTCAAGCTGTCACTGTCCTGCTGTTTTGGCTCCTCTATGCGGTTACTTTGCTAACTCACGAAACAACATCTCCTTCGATTTACAGGCGCATGTCGTTGTATTTGGCAAAGGCCTTGCACAAGGCAAAGGCCAGGATTATGAGGACCAGATGGACAATGCCCACCACAATCACGCCAATGATCAGCTCCCGTTGTCCAATCAGCCACTCGGTGAAGACCTCGTAGCAGCCCTAGAAAAAGAGGTAAAGATATAAATAAAGTCATAGATATACCTAGAGTTACTTACCTTCTTGTAGAAACTGTTACTGTCGCTGGGATTGGTTGTGCAGTCCTCGTCGCGCGGCACCAGCTTGGCCACATCCTTGAGGATGCAGCAGGCATCGGGAATGGTGCGATTACCCTTGCCGCTAACCCACGCCGGCGAGGCCTCAAAGTCGCGATAGTCGGAGATGCCGCAGCAGCCAAAGTTGCCCATCAGCTGGTTCCACATCAGCGAGGTGGCGTCCACATTCTCGCCCAGCGAGTAGCTGGTAATGGTTGTCTGCAGGAAGTTTTTGCTCTCAGCCCGCACCTTGTCCTTGTAGAAAGCGGCCAGACCGCCGGCCACAATCTCGGCCACCAAAAGCAGGATCAAAAAGGTTCCATACTGAAAAGGTAATCAATTATAAATAAAGTATTATATTAATTTATTTAACTTCAAGAAGAATTGAATTATTTATATAGCTTGAAATGCTTGAGTGCTCGGTTGACCCAATTCGTTGGCCACTTGGTGAGCCGTGCAGAAACATCTAGCCATTTGACCCTGAGCTAAATGTGCAGCATTTGTCGCTGGTGGTGAGTTTTGGCCCGCACACACACACACACATGCCCACGGAATACCACGGATAGATACAGATACTCAGATACTCGGATATGGATGGGCAGATGGCAGGCGTGGGGGGCGGGGGAGGTCGCAGCGTGCAGTGCATAATGCTGAAGGTCATTCCTCAATGTTTTGTTGCATGTTTTGTAAAAAGCTCTTGCGGCTTTTTATTCTACTCTCGGATGGCTGGCCAAGAAATGCACCGAAAGAAATAGCTAAAAACGTTCAAGAACAAGTATATTCTGGAAGAATAGAAAACACACAATCTTTTCTTGCTGTGCACGATGCGTTGGCCTGATATGCTCGGTTTTAGTAGCCCCCGTTGTTGCGGCTGTTACGCCTGGCGGCATTTAATCTGAGCCAGCGTGGGCGTTGGTGGTAGCTGCCTGGCTGGCTGGCTGCCCATGTATCTGTCAGATACACACATGCAAGCTCACCGAGTCGCTCAGCTTCACTTACTTTTCGTTTTCGTTTTTGCTTGCATGCCAAGTGTAGCGATTTGAAAGCGTTTAAGTGCGACGGCTATTAGCAATCTCTTAGCTTTTGGCTGGGCTAAAATAAATACACATAATAAAAAAATCAATGCTAAGACACATTAGCCATGCGGTGAGCTGAGCTGGGCCTTAACGGCCTTGGGATGCGTTAACCAAATGGCCTGGCCTTGGCTAATTTAAGTGCAAATTGCGCCCAAGAGGGTCGCATGCAGGTCGCGTGTTCGGCAACGGTGCGCATGCGCAATTCGCTCGCCTCTGTCATGGTTAATTCAGCTCTTAGCTCTTAGCTCCCCTTGGTAACATGTACATTGAAAATTCACCTGTTTTTGTCGCTTCAATTAAACTGGCCCAAGCCAAGCCAAGCCCAGAAAAAAGGTGGGTGCGACCAGTCAGTCAACCGGCGAGTGTAAATAATGCAGGTAAATGCGATAAAATGTTTATTAATTACTGCAATCACCTGAGTGCGTACTCTCTGCCATAGAAAGTTCCCCCTAGACACTTGTAAATGTAAATTATTCTTCCAAGCGGGAGAAATTACCATTCCACTCACAGGCCAAGAGAAGGGCTTGTCATGAGGGTCGCTCTCTGTGTGGAAACCAATCGTTCAGGCATACCTGTATCTATGTACATATATCCGATAATTTATCTATACCCGGCTACATACAACTTTCTCTGGCTTTTCCAACCAAAAGTCAAAGTCAAATGGTAGAAGAAATCCTCTTCAACAAACGGAAAAGTTTCGGCTGCATGCAAACAAAAACGTCTGCAGCTGAAAATGCCTGGCAAACGGCCAAAACTCGAATCGAATCTCAGTCCCCGAAGTAACTGGGCATCTTTCATTTACAATGTATCGATGATGCAAGACCGT